CCATATGACCCAGCCATTCCACTCCTATTTACTTTTAAAAAAGTGTATTATGTACAAAGATTGGCACACAGATGTTCACAGCAGCTTTATTTGTAATAGCCAAAAACTGGTGAGAAGTCGAAAGTCCATCAACAAGGGAATGTACAAATGTGGTTCATCCACAAAATGGAATACTACTCAGTAATTAAAAAGAATGAACTGTGGATTTACATAACATTGATAAATCTCAAAATAATTTAGGCTGAACTTTTTAAAAGCCAAAGAGGAGAATACGCTGTATTTATAAAATAACAAAAAAAAAAAATGCTAGAAAATTCAAACCAGGCAGGCGTGGTGGCTCACGCCTGTAATTCCAGCACTTTGGAAGGCCGAGGCGGGCGGATAGCCTGAGGTCAGGAGTCTGAGACCAGCCTGACCAACATGGAGAAACCCCGTCTCTACTAAAAATACAAAATTAGCCAGGCATGGTGGTGCATGCCTGTAATCTGCGCTACTGGGGAGGCTGAGGCAGGAGAATCACTTGAACCCTGGAGGCAGAGGTTGCGGTGAACCATTATCGCGCCACTGCACTCCAGCCTGGGCAACAAGAATGAAACTCCATCTCTAAAAAACAAAAAAAAACAAAAAAGAAACAAAAAAGGGAAGAAAATTCAAGCCAATATATAGTGACAGAATAGATAAATTATTGCCTGGAAATGGAGGTGCAGAGGGACGTAAAAACAAACATTTGATGGTGATGAATATGTTTACTATCTTGATTATGATAATGGTTTCACAGGTGTATAGACACGTCGCAACACAAAACTGTGCACTCCAAACACATACAGTTCATTTTATGTCAATTAAACTGAATAAGGTTGTTTAAAAAGGACAAGCAAATACAAAGCTAACTATAAAAAAGTCAGACTAAGGCTGGGCACAGTGGCTCACACCTGCAATCCCAATGCTTTGGGAGGCCAAGGCAGGAGGATTATTTGAAGCCAGGAGTTCAAGACCAGCTTGGACAACAAAACAAGATCACATCTCTACAAACAAAAATTTAAAAATTTGCCAGTCATGGTGGGACGTACGTGTAGTCCCAGCTACCAGGAAGGTGAGGCAGGAAGATCACTGGAGCCCAGGAGTTCCCAGCTACACTGAGCCATAATCACACCACTGCACTCCAGCCTGGATGAAAGAGCAAGACTCTTGTCTCAAAAGTAAAAAAATAAATTAATACACATTAAGAATAGATTTCTCTCCAATTCTCACAGAACAATGCTCTTGCTATGCCATAATCTCTTTCTCCATAGCATATCTGACGATTTCATAACCACTTGTGAAAGTTCTACGACATGCTGAACTGGAGGAAGGGAAGAGGGAAAGGGGAAGACAGAACACATGTAAGAAACCGAGAAATTTCTTTTTTTTTTTTTTTTGAGACGGAGTCTCGCTCTCTCGCCCAGGCTGGAGTGCAGTGGCCCGATCTCGGCTCACTGCAAGCTCCGCCTCCCGGGTTCACATCATTCTCCTGCCTCAGCCTCCCAAGTAGCTGGGACTACAGGCACCCGCCACCACGCCCAGCTAATTTTTTGCATTTTTAGTAGAGAGGGGGTTTCACCGTGTTAGCCAGGACAGTCTCAATCTCCTGACCTCGTGATCCACCTGCCTCAGCCTCCCAAAGTGCTGGGATTACAGGCATGAGCCACCTCACCCAGCTGAAACCGAGAAATTTCAAAAATGCTTCCATAGGGTAAAAGTATGTTTACATGTATACAGCCAACAGGATACCTAACAGTAAGAAAAAATTAATGTATTCCTGTTATGCAGAGGAGGTTGTATGCACTTTTACCATTACCATTGAATACTTTCCTGGATATTCTAGTTTATTTAAAATCAAAATAACATACAAAATTATCACCACATGCAATATTTGTGAATATTTATCCAGAAGATGCTAGAAAATTAAATATTTTTTGAAGGAAAAAACACAAGTTACCAATGCAGAGTACCAGCCAGGCACGGTGGCTCATGCCTATAATCCCAGCACTTTCGAGAGGCTTAGGCTAGAGGATTACGTGAGGCCAGGAGTTCAAGACAAGCCTGGACAACATAGTGAGGAGACCCAATCTCTACAAAAAAATTTTAAAACTAGCCAGGCATAGTGCCACGTGCCTATAGTCCTTGCTACTAGGGAGGCCGAGGCAGGAGGATCATTTGAACCCAGGAGTTCAAGGTTACAGCAAGCTATGATTGTGCGTCACAGAACTCCAGCCTGGATGACAGAATGAGGCCCCACTTCTTTAAAGGAAAAAAAAAAAAAAAAGCCGGGGGGCCGGGCACTGTGGCTCACGCCTGTAATTCCAGCACTTTGGGAGGCCAAGAACGGTGGATCACCTGAGGTCAGGAGTTCAAGACCAGCCTGACCAACATGGAGAAACCCTGTCTCTACTAAAAATACAAAATTAGCCAGGCA